TTTGTGATTAATATTGGTTCTCACAGTTACCACAAACAACTCAGTTCTCTCTTGAATAGGCCCCTATATATATATATATATATATATAGTTAATTTTATTGTATTATGATAAATTTTCACATATTTGATTAAGGAGTCATTTACCAAATGCTTACTTGGTAAGCGCTTACCAAATCATATTATCTTTATCGGATGAATGTAGCAAGGATTGTGAGTTTACCCGGTAAGAGCAATGACAAAGATCGAAAGTCTTACTCGTTAAGTGAGGGTGATAACTCTTAGCGGGTAGATTGTTGCATATGATGTTATTTAGATGGACTAAAATCGATCATGAATATTGAATGTTATAATTGTTAGATACGCTTAACTTTTGATTTATCGTGAATAATTTTGACTACTCAGACAACTTTAGAATATCTGGTAAATATCATTCCAAGATCATGTACTACATTGCAGGCGAATAAAAATATTGAACTTCATAGCAAGAATGATCAACAAGTCTTGCAATCACAACAAATAGAACCACGRTGGACGTATCAGTGTCTTGACCTGCACTTCACCTTATTCACATATTGATCATCAGATCTTCTATTTCTTGCACTTTTCTTTCGAGTCAGATACTAGTCTTGGTTGCATAGTTGAGAATTACGGTTTTCATGCCGCATTGACTTCAACAATTTCCTAACGACGTTGAAAATTCTATGCCTAAACATCGTTTGCAAATAGTATGCATTATTTCATAAACTAGATAGTGATAGTTTTATTTTCACAAACCTGTGATTGTTACTACTCTTGAAATCCCATCTTTTAGTAAGCCAAAAGATGAAGAACGCTGAGATAATAAGAATGAGCTAAAGTTAAAATTGATTGATGTGCCAAAAGGTTGCTTATCATGGCTCTTCCTCATAATCTTTTCGAGTCATTGGATTCATGTAACATGAAGCATTGGACAATGAATTAGAACTCCACATTTGAACTAAATAAAATTAACTGATACCAACATGGAATCTTTCTAAAAAAAATTTATACGACAAAATGAAAGAAGACTTTCATCTCCAAGTTTAACATAAACGTATTTTGAGAATACGCCTTAACAACAATGATTAACAATGGCTCTGAATCCATTATCATACGATGAGAGTTGTCGGTGTATTGGGTCCGGGAGCATCCCGATGGAATGAACAATATAGAACAGTTTACTAATTGATTAACGTGTTCAAATACAAGATGCATGTTGAGTACTACTAATATTCTAGAATACTACGGAAAAACTGATAACTAACTAGATAGTCTTTCGCTCTCTTAAAACCATATGAAATCAATAAATAAAATTGAGAAGGAAGCATGAGCTAAAGGTTTATGCTATAGTAAATATATTAGCATGAATATAGTTATAGTATAAGCATCAACATTAACCGGATAAGAACCACCACCTTACTTACCGGGTAAGATTCTCGGTTAAAAAGATGACACGACAACATTGTTGTTAAAGATCATCATCTCTGATGGGGTAAGGGGCCGTTTACGAAACGCTTACCTGGGTAAGTGTTTGCCAAGTCACATTACCTTACTGGATGAATATGACAAGAACCAAAAACCTTAGCCGGTAAAAGGAAGGCAAGAACCAAGAGTCTTCTTACCTGGTAAGTGAGGGCAACGATTCTTACCATGGTTGGCACTTACCTGGTAAATTGTTATTACGGTGCCGTTTCGGTAAACTAAAAACTTGTCATGGTAAGCACTTGCCAGGTAAATGTTTGGTAAACAACCCCCCAAGTGTCTCTTACCTGGTAAGAGGCAATAAATGTATACTTACCTGGTAAAAAGCAGTAAGCAGCCAAAACTATTTCCTTCCAATACCCAATAACTCCTCATAAAAACTACATGAATCTATGTTATTTTTCCCTTTTCTGTGCAAGGTCCATCATTATGACACCATTTTAACTTTTGTAGTCCATTTTTGAAGGTATGTAACCTTGAAATTTAAGGCTATATTGATAAACTAAAGCTAACAAAAGGCCAACTTGATTAAGGGGCCTTTTACCTAAACACTTACCCTGTAAGCACTTACTGGTAAAATTCAACACTATCGCTTACTTATCGGGTAAAATTTTATTCACCAAAACGCATCATATGCAACAATTTATCCCAGTAAGCGCTAACCATGGTAAGAGTTGTCGCCCTCACTTACCGGATAAGACTCTTGATTTTTGTCTTCGCTCTTACCGGATAAGATTCTTAGTCCTTGCCATATTCATTCGGTAAAGTAATGTGACTTGATAAGCGCTTACCAGGGTAAGCATTTGGTAAACGGCACCTAAGAAACTCATCATCATAATAACATACAATAAAGACAGGAAAATTACATAATAAGTAGCAGAAAATCCCTGATTTAGGATGCTAGTGTCCAAAACCATCATGATTTTTTGACTAGCAATTACAAGGTCAATATCAGACTTTTAAACATATATTTCAGATGTATGTAATGGATATGAGGCACAATTAGAAAGAAATTTGAATATAACCTATCAAGTGATGAACACAATAACAAACAGTAAGAAAAAGGAACGGTTACTCATGACTTTGCAGAGAAGACGGACAGAGAAGTAAAAACCAAGAAAATGGTTGAGTTTTCGAGCGAGCTAGAGTGCACGACAAAAAAAAGATTGCGGTAAACAGTGCCGCAATTAACGGCACCACGATTTCCCCTGCTATTCCGTCGATGACTGCAGACCGCAATACCACCGCTATAGCAGCGCAGCACAAGACGAGTTATACTCAACATACTTGTAAAGAAAAAGCAATCAAGTTGGCAGAAAATATTAAACACACCCTCTCTCTTCGATTATAGAAACTGGAGAACCTTTTGAGTAACAAAAGCAATAGGAAATCGGTCTTGCCTAAATCCCTACCAAAACTTTAATCTATGCTTAAATATTTGTAGGAACCATGAAACAATCCAAAATGTTTGCAAAAACATAGGTTTAGACAACTGAAAAACTAACCCATTGGTAGATCAAAGAACCGTGTTTTTCTCCACCTCCTTCCCCTGTAATCATGTTGATCAAAACTTTGCTTTTCGTGAGGCAAAAAAACCATATCGGACTCCTCCGCTACCCGCATTGCTTTACTACCTCACCTTGTTCAACCATTTCAAATCAGTTTCTGCACAAACAACGAAAAAAATAAAGAACTAGTTATCAAGGTAACATTAGAAATAAGAAGCAGATAGCATATATGCTGATCTAACAACCTGTGAGGTAATCAATTTTTTGACCACATTCTCAATCCTCTTCTTCCGATGCCTCGTTCAGCCATTGGATGAACTTCTCTGATTGCTTGACAAAGACCTTATCTGATTCATCTGCATCTTCTTTTTCATTTGCCCAGTTGAGAATAGCCTCTTCTTGTATAATATCTTTGTCATACAGAAGGTGCAAAACCTGTACAAACAGTGGGGCGTACTCCTTGCCGGACTCCAAACACATTTCCTCGAATTTCAGTATCACTTCAATTTCATCATCTATACCTTGAAGGTAAGGCTTCAGTAGTTTCCCCCAACGTGAAATGACATCATTGGTATTCTTGACCAAATCAGTAGCTGAATGGTGTGGAGTATCTAGTGCCAATTTCATCATGGAATAAAACAATGCACTAGCGCAGTTCTCAAGAGCCATGTTGTGTGACAACCGAAGTGAGTTCACTTCTAGGATTATATGGTCTTCTTTGACATTTTCATGAACAGCCCTCAAGAATGTTGCTTCAACCTCTCTCTCAAAATACTGAGACTCATCCCTAGTATCATCTTCAGACTCTGTAGCTGATTCTCTTTCATCAGCAAGTGGAAGAAGAGGGTCATCTTGATCGGGAAATTCAAGATCATCATAAACTGCTTGAGTAAGCTCGATAAGTTTCTGTGCAGGAATTGGTGCGACTGAATGCCTCCAATCTTCTTCACGGGCAATTTCACTTATAGACCATATGAAACCACGGCCACCGTTACCAATATCTGATGAAGCTGAGTATTGGATTTCAGACAGATCATTAGTTGAATCCCCATTCTCTAGGGTGTTCGTGGTGGATATGATCCCACTGTTACTGTCAGCATATTCGAGCTCCTCATCACTATCTTGTTTCACAGGCTGTGGAAGTAAGGAAACTTTCGAGTAGGCGGGAACAACAAATTCTTGTCCAACTACAACCTTGAAGGACAAAACAACACCTGGTTCCAGAATTGCTCCAGACTTCATGATGACCCCATCACATAATATTGAGTGTCTTAGTTTGCAACCATCTTCTATGGTAACGTTATGCCAAATATAGCAGCCATCAACAGAAACATTAGATCCAATTTTACAACCATCCCCGACAACTGAATTTGAAATTACCGTGTTGTTTCCAATAGTACTGCCTTTCCCAATATAGGTAAATGGTCCAACCTGCGCAGAACGTGATTGTGCTATATCTGATGCCCGATAGATGCCATGTCTTTCAAGTCTGGCAGCACTATTTATCGAAAACTGCACATCTGGCACCAGCGGGTACGTCCACCTCTGAATTATATCCTTACTTATTGAGTCATAGCTTCGAAAGTTATCAATCCTTGCAGCATAACTTGAATGAATTTCATGAGTGAATATTTTATAACCCATAATATCATCAAGAAGCAATCCCTTAACAAAGTGACGACGTAGATGCTGATAATCGAAATTGTCAGTAAAAAGGCTGAGTACTTCAGGGGTGCATATGTCTATATAACAATCTTGTTTATCATTCTGTAGAGATATAGAAGGATTTTCAGCAAGAAATGCCTTATCAAGTGTCACGGTCCCTTTGAGATCATCTGCCTTGTCCTCATAATACAGCAGCTGCTTTGTACCAGGATCAATTGCCATAATTAACTCATCAGTTCCAAGCCGTGTTTGGCGAGTAACTTGAGAAGGTTTTGATTGCTTAATAACCATTGTCATCACAGCATTGTTGTCCTTTCGTCGTCTATCCTTGTGTTCATGAAGTGCCTGTGTAAGCATCATGTTGCTGACTGTATCTCCACTAACAAGTATGAAATCACCTTGTATCACATTACGCTCATATATTATGCGCAAAGCATCCCCAGCGCTGATACAATTGAGTGATTCGATTGTTGTGACAGAAAAGTTTGGTTGGTTGACCCAATTGGATTTGTCCAAATAATTAATTATTTGCTTAGAATGAGAACAACAGAACACAAAGACTTCTTCAACACCAGCAGATTCAAGCCATGCCAAAGTGTAATCAATCATAGGGGAGTTGACCAATGGTAAAAGTACCTTTGGGCATTCAAGGGTGATAGGCCGGAACTTTGTGGTGAAGCTATCGGCCAAGAGGATTGCTTGCAATGGAACACGAGCCAAATCCTCTACGGCATCTTCTGCTTTACTTCCCCCTTTCTTAGCTACCATCGTTTGGCAGCTTCAATTTTAACGCTGATACCCCTTCCTCTCCTGCAATCAAGAAAACAACATACAGAAGCCATCCTCAGGTCACAGATAAACAGAAAACCCACATGTTTGGGTGTCTAGAAACCCTCAAATTGGCCTTCAGAAACAGGATCTACTCAAATTAATTCTCTCCTTTTTCAATGATGGTGACGAGTCCAGGAACTTCAGGGGTAGGAGTCATCTTGAGCTAACAAAATTTCCCAGCAGGGATACCAATTAAAGTTCACTTGTTCTTAAGAGATCAAATACCTAAGCAGTACTAATCTTGAATCTAAATGATGATTTCAAAAATTACATTCAAATATGAAAGAAAACATGGACCCTCATTAATTACTAATGAACTGAACACAAAATCTACTGTACCCAAGTATAAAACAAACAAGTCTTGCTTCTTTACTTATGACATTTCATCATCGCTTCTTTATCATTTATCCAAGCCGTTATCTATGTAAGTTACCATAAGACAACCCAACTAACCAAACACTGTTGAACTAAAACAAAATTAAACTAATTAACACATCCTAAGTTAATGATTTAAACCAATTCCAACAAACCCCTAAATTATACCAATTCAGAGAAATTCGATTCAAATTTCTTAAACCCCAAATCAAACATAATTGGTAACCCTAATTCTTTAAACCAAAATGCATCTCAACAATCAAACTAACACATTATACACAAGGGCAGAGCCATGAATATTATCTAGGGTGGTCCTTTTGAATAAAACAAGTGAATTCGAAAATATTGTATTTGGTATGTATAGATTCTAAGTAAGCATCTGTTAAGCTTGCTTATTTTCAAGTAATGTGTTTATAACTTGCTTACTGTGGGTCTTGTATTGATCACATCTCTCACTTTATTCTTCAATTGGATCCTTGGAAACATATGCGAACTAATTGCATGCCACGCTACCCAAACCTCCGACAGAATTGTGAACTATATACTTCCTTCATTTTGCTCAACTTATCCATAGATGTCAACTATCCCAATAATTTGCAAACACGGATAATCGTCAAATATCCCAAGGAATTGCATTTAAGTTTACACTATCAAGACATTTAAAAAATGTGTAAATTGTCAAAACTCAAGATAACAAAAGCATCAAAACACGTCAAACTTTAAGTTCCAAATCCAAACTAAACACGTGAAGTGTAATCCATAATCTAATACAACTGAATCATCCAAGATAAAAGAAGCACTCAATAACAGAAGCATTAAGCATATTCCAAACAAGTCAATTACTCGAGTCTAAGCACGTAAGGACCGATTCTTGAACCTAAGCCCTACAAATTTCACTGTATCTAGAGGGGAGACTGTGAGAGGCAGAGCAGCAACAGGCCAGCGGACCCCGCGAGCTTTAAGTTGGGAATGTGGTTTTCGCTGAGTGCGTGAAGTTGGGAACTGGATTTGTGAGTCTGTCACAGCGGTCAGCAGGCATGGCTGCATGGGAATGGTGCGGGGACCCCAATCCCCATCCCGGTCCCCGCTACGAAATATGATCGCATCCCCAACGAGGAAACGGGATTTTTTTCCACACATGTTTAAATTTTACATATTTCCAATAAATCTAAAAGAGTATCGAAAAAAGTTTAGTCATATAAGATGTGTGTCCCTTACCCAATGTCCATTATTCTAATCTATTAACAGGCCCTCCAAGTTAAATCTAAACTAAAAAACCATAGGATAACTTTAATAGAATTGCAGAGTTCCATTTACCTTTACTGATCTATAATCAAATGGAATAAGTATGAAATTTTCCTTTTCTTTTATCAATATAAACTACCTCAAAGAGCATCCAGTGCCCCATCAGCTATGGGCATATAAGAAGAAAATAAAAACAAGGAAAAGTGATATCCCTACAATTGCTAGCACCAATAATGAACATCACTGACATGAGCATACAGACAACAAAGTTCAAATACCAAAATCAAGGCTTACAGCTAGCAAGTTACAAAGGCTTTTCTATATAGCAAGTTACAAAGGATTTGCCATACAGTACATGGATTTGTGGTAGTAGATTTGCAATACAGTTAATGGATTTGCAAGCAAATGGACTTGAAAGTAGAAATCAAGCTGTCAAGCAATACCTCGCTGCTGTTGCTTGGGTCTCAGGTGGACGACGGTCGACGGCGGACGGCGTTCGCTGCTGCTGGGAAGGCGGAGGGAACGGCCGACGGGCGGGGTTCGAAATCGGTGCTTCTGTCGCCTGTGTGACGATTTTAGTTTCTAAAATCTAAACCTAACATAGGAGTTACTGAATTAGAATCAGGATACATAAATAATATATATTTTTTATTTATTAGTTAATATATATACCTATAAGGGTCGGGCCGATACCCGTTCCCGGTTCCATCCCGGTTTGAGCCAAACGGGAATTCTCGTCCTCGATTGAGACGGGTGAATCGGGTTTTCGACGGGTCAAAACTATTCCCATGCTTACAGGTGAGTAGACATGGGAATCTGGTGAGGACCCTGATGGGCCACATCTCAATCTCCGTTTCCATCCCTATTTGGGACAAGATCAGATCATTCGTAATTGTTTGATAAAACGCATTTGATTCTCCATTTTTTTATCTAAAAGAGTAAGACATGTCAGAAAAATATATATACAAAAATCAAAATATTCTTTATAAATCTAAAAGATACTAAATATAATTTTTAAATAAATAATAAACATATAATATATTAATATAATATCTTTAGTATAATATATGTTACATGTTTTAAATCTTCGTGTAAGGAGTATTTAAAATTTAAAGATGGAAAATGAAGTGGTTTGTTGCGAACTATCCGGTAAAGGAAAGTTGTAATTCAACGATGCTATGATTAAGAAGGAGATTGTATGCTTTGTGAACTTAATCAGATTTACGAATCGAAAGTGTGGCAATCTGTTGATATTCGTATTGTTGTTTGAAATATTGTTCCAAGAAGGAACAAAGGATCTATTGAGAAACGAAGAGGTTGGTCTTGTGATGATCCGCTGGAAGTCTCCTAAAAGCAAGAGGGGAGATTGTAATAACTCAAATACTAAACGAAGAGGTTGGTTACCCTCAGTAATTTACTTGAATGAATTTCGAGACGAATTTCTATTATATAACTCAAATCTTATATTTGGCAGTATAACGGAAGTGTAGGGGCAGTTTGGTTTATGTTATGTTTCTATGGAGACTCTACACCTTTGTGGGTAAAGAGAGAGCTTTTCCTTGGAGAAAAGACTCCTGAATGTGAGGATATTGATGGAAGGTTTGAAGGGGAAGAAGATTATTTCAGGTATGAAGTTCATCTTTTTCTCTAGAAGCATCTCCTTTATTTTAGGGTTTTGTGTTATTTCTGGGAATTTTCATTTAGAGCGACTCGTTGTCGTGGAAATATGAATCTTACAGTGAAAACTTTCTTTGGGGTTGAATTTAGTAGTGAGTTGAAACTTAGAATCGTTTTTTATTTGTCAAATATTTGAGGTTTTGTTAATCATTTATGAATTTGGGGTTTTTCTTCGACCTTGCATTCACTAGTTAAGTGACTTTTGCATTGACAGTTGTAGCAGCTAGCTGAAGCCTTGTCGATGAGGTTTGACTTTGGCTTTTCAGCTATGGTCAGGGAAGGATATCTGCGGTAGTTTCTTTTTCTGGCGAGCCTCCTGAAATAGTTAGTTAGAAGGGCCAACGACTCATCAAACTCTAAAAGAACAGCGTTTGTCAAGTTCTCAGTGATAGAAATAGAACAGGACCTAGTAGAAGAAATAGAAGGGTCAGCTGAAGGGATATCAGAGATCAAAGCTGACGAAGAGATTTTCATTTCCCTGAAGCCTTTTAGAAGATTCTTCTTCAGCTGATAGGATTGCTCATGATTAAGCAATATCCCATAAAGAGAATTGAAAGAAAGGAAGGACATGTCCTTAGACATCTTGAGACACATGTTATAATTATCCATGCTTCTGGAAAACATTCAAGGAATTTTGTCAGCGTCACTGAGTTGGAATATTCTCTTCCAACTGTCCTCAAATCAATGAGAAGACAATTAAAGCGTTGATGTACTTCAGACAAAGATTCAGATTTTCCACAAAGAAAACTTTCATATTGTCTTACTAAATTAATCTTCCTCGATTCTTGTACTTCAGAAGTACCTTCATATTGAACACAAAGAGTGTCCCACATGATTTTCGAGGTTTTAAGCTTCAACACTGAGTGATAGTCCTCGTCAGGAAGAGCTATGGCTATTATAGATCTCACACGAGTATCTAAAGACACTTTATTTTTGTCTTCGTCACTCTAATGATGAGGGAGCTACGGAATTTGTCGTTCAGGAATCGTGGTAGTCATAACAGTAGCAGAAACTGCCGGAGGGATTGCTGATAGAACATAAGGGTCATTCTCAATATAGTATGGAATCTCAGGATCCACACGTTCCAAAAAGAGAGACATCCGGTTCTCCAGAGACATCCGGTTCTCCAGAGACTGAAGTTGTCTCTAATAAACCACGGAGGTTTGGCAAGGAGCCATTATCGTGAATGTTTGTGCCCGTATTTTTGCAAAGCCATTTGAAAGGTAAATAAATTATCTAGAGAAAAAGAGATAATAAAACAACACTACAACATAAAAACAAACACCGCTATGATATAAATAAGAGTTTATGGGTAACAGTTTGTAGAAGGTGAGAATGATGAATACAAACATAGCAGCTTTCATTTTTAAAAAACTTATATTGATAAAGAAGATCAACACGGATTGCTACAGATTGTTTGCAGAAGAGATATGATACAAAGCCTATATAAACAATCAAAGATACACAGAAAATTACAGATAACAAGAAGAAAAGACTTGCTACAAGAAATAAGTTAAGAAGTATTGTGCTCTTCACTTGTTATAGTGGAAGTCTTTCTCTTAGACAGAGAGTAAAGAGAGGAATATATTCTTGGGTAAGATCTTCAAGGCAATGATGCTTGGATGTGTTAGAAAGATGTAACTGAGAAGAGAGAACTACTCATCTATTTATACTCATTGCATTAAATGCAATTTAGAAGGTACAAAGCGCGTGGCAAGCTTTAAGAAGTAAGCTTGTCCTTTGTTGCAGTATACAGTATTTTGGCCGTATATGAACAGTCTTCTTTCATAAAGTAGGTAAGCACGTTTGGAGACAATTGAGTGACTTGTACATAATTTTACTTTGAAAGGTATGTGTTTGTTCTTTGTGTGCAGAAGGACAAGACAAAAACTATCTTGTTCAACAAGATTCAATTGATCGTTGAAGATTGGAATGACGCTGAAGGTATCATCAATGTTCGCTGAATCTTGTGTAGATTTCACACATATGTAAACGAACTTGTTATCACATGTTTCGCCAACTCTCGGAGAGTCCGCTCATCTTGGTCAACCATCTTGACTTTTAGCTCATCTTCTTCCTCCTCTTTAGACTGAGAATCCTCTATCTTTCGTTACTCTTCGCTTTCGGACTTGGTGTAAATCAATATTTTTCAAGATGTTGCTTACCAGTGAACTTGAAGATTCACCCTGCGCTTTTCCGAGCCTAGCTAGCTCCATCTCTTGGTTGTCCGCTCTAATTCTGGATCTATGGGTTGGGATGTACATGTACGTGAAGATCTAAGCATAAACCGTTATCTTTACAATGTGTGTCAATGTATTAAATTTTATATTTATTGAATTTGAATTTAAAATCTATTTTTAATTACTTTACTGTGAAATTGTATTATCTATACTATCTATACTATCTTATAAAGCATTTGGCTAAAACTCTTAAAAACTCTTAAAACTCTTAAAAACTCTTAAACCCGTTCATCCCTAAACGATTTCATCCCTATCCGATTTCATCTCATATTTGTATTCGTGTAACTAAATGCAGATAAACACAATCAAATACATGATAAACATCTCATTTTAAATATAAAAAATCTAAAATAAAATTAGTATAATCATTAAATTCTAACATAATACTTAATTATTATCTTTATAAAATTTACAATATTAAACCAAAAATAAATTATTTCATTATTAAACTTAAATTAAATTATAATAAAAGAATAAATTAAAAAAATTACATAAAAAATAGGACTTTTAAATAGTTGATTTAATATTAATTTCGCTTATTTTTAAAAAAATTTATAATATTTCATTCAAAAATAAAAACATTTTATTTTTTCTCAAAATCACATAAAATCGCATTATAACATCGATAGAGCCAAAATATAAAACGAAACATTAAAATCAAGATGTATCTCGCTGCATTGCGCGAGTACCATTCTAGTCTTATTAAGCAAATTTACCAAAAGTCTTAAAGTCTTAAAATACTAAATGACCAAGATACCTTTTATACTACCCTTAGGTCACTTTTTCACCCCCTCCTCTCTCACATACACTCACCCCTCACATACACTCACCCTCTCACAACCGATTTTTTTTTAAATTATAATTTTAAATTTACATTTTATACCCCTATAATTAGTTAATTAATTTACTTTACGTCATTTATTTTTAAATGTTTCATTTTAAACATTTATCAAATTAACATACATAATCGTATATCAATTAAAACATGTTTAAAAAATACATTTTTATTTTAACAAGTTACACCATTATAATCGTCTCGTTAATATCTTCGAAATGAGTCCAATATTGAATAGTTTTTGACTTAATTATATTATTATATATTATATATATTGTGAAAAAATATTTTTAATAATTATGATTTGTACTTTTATAGTTATTTATTTATATATATATATATATATACTATTTTGGGGTCAGACTGTCTAAATTGCACTGTATAATATGTTCTGAGTTAATATGTTCTTGGGTTTTTTTGAAATATATATATATATACATGTATTTATTCAACTTTAATCTTAGTTCCTGGACAAGAAAGAGGGTAAGCAGTTGAAATTTCGTTCTAAAACACATATTTTTTTGGTCTTTTCATGGCTTATGATCTGTCAAATTTGTAGTTTTCTGTATTGGTTTTGAGTGTTTATCTTAAAACTCAAGTTTCTTGATTCTTTTCTCTTAGTGTAAATCAAACACATTTATGAAGTCGTTTAAATATGTTGGATTTTAAATTGTCATACAATTTTTTCATCGATAGTCTATAATTGGAACCATAACTCTTATTTATTCAAATTGTATTAATATGTAAAGACCAAGTATAACCTATATCATCGCTAAATCTTATTTTATAAAACCAGTGGAACTTCAAAATC